AACGATGCGAGCCCCGCCTATCCAGGACTGTCTTTTGGGACATCCAGCCCCAGCCGGCTGGGCGGTTTCACATTTGTTATTGGTCGAGTCAACGAAACCAAGTGCCGGGGCGGCCGAGGGGCCGAATGCGCCGGCCGCCCGGCGTGGGCCGGCGCATTTGAGCAAGTCTCACCGCTCGAAACGCGCGCGAGCTGTCTCCGGGTCTCGCCCGTGGTCGCTCGACCTCCAGGCCTTTCTGTCTGTTAATTTTTCTGCACCCATGGGTCTGACGGATCGCGTGGCTCGCCGGCCGCGCCTCGGGCTGCTGGTGCCCCCGTTCCGGCTGAGGATGGCCAAGAGCGGGGGGGCGACGACGTGAGCCGCACACGAGGCCCCTCCAGGGTGGGGGGGGGGGGGGGGGGGGGGGGGGGGGCGGGCTTGTGCGCCTACTTCGTGTCCATCTGGTCCGGGGAGGACTCGCACCAGGGTGGGCGTGGTCCCATGTGCTGGCCTTGCCCAATCGCCTTGCAGTATGTGGGGGGTGAGCTGCTCACGGGCAAGGGTGAGGGGGGCCGAGCAAGGGCAGCAGCGGAGGGGCGAGGCGGGCGCGGGCGGGCAAGGGCCGAAGCCGCTGCCAACATCCGGGCTCCGGGCGCGACCACGGCAACAGGCTGTTGGGGCGCGTCCTGGGGGGCTCCATGCCGTGGTGTGGGCGACCAGTGGCATGCACGCGGGCATGCAGACCGCCCCGTCCTCCCTAGACGACGAATCCCCTCCGGCTTTCCTTCGCCCCCCCCCCCCCTCCCCCCCCGGGGGGCCCTCTTTCGTTCTACCTACGCATCGGCGCGCGCGCCCGCACCCGCACCCGCACCCCAGGGGGCTGCGGGGCCTGGCTCGAGCAAGATCCAGGCTCACACGGACGGTGCCGGCCGGACAACCACAGCTCCTCGGTACGTTGTTTGTACATCATGGTGTGAACGCTGGGCCCCTCCCTGCCTCCCACCCCGGATTCGGATGAAGACCGCCCAGTCCCTTTTCCGGGTCCCCGCGCGCCGTGTGTGTGTGGGGGGGGGGGGAGGGCCGACCGCCAGGGGGTGGGCCAGGGGGGAGGGTGGGGCGGGGGCCGGAAGGGTGGGGCGTCGAGCTCGGTCCCCTTTGACAACGGGCCCAGGCACGAGTGCCTCCATCCCCGCTCCCCGACCTCGCGGGCACCGGTCCACGAACAAACAGGCATGTCGCGTGCGTGCCCTGGGCCGGGGCCGGTCAGCCACCCACAACAACCACGCGCCCCCCCCCCTGCCCCCCGGGCAGTCCCTCCACCCACATGTATATTCTTGCTCACTCTCTCTCTCTCTCCCACCGCCATTGACACACAGCCACCCTGGCACACGGCCTGTTTCCAGGGCTCGGCGCAGGTGCATTCTCCTCGTGCTGGAGGCAGATCGGGCCTTTTTTATGCCGGCCCGGCCCGGTCACTCGCCGACTGGCGCGCTTGGCCTCTCCCCCTCTCGCCGCGCATCCAGCCCGCGTGCTCACCCCCGGTCGTTGTCCCTGTGTGCGCCTCTGCCGATTGACTCACACCCTATATTGGCCACCTCCCGGGCTACATCCCCGGGGGCAACCCCACCCCCTCGCACCCACACTCACATTCACACATGCATACATACTCTGCCACTTCCTCGCCCTGTGGCTCGCCATCCCCTCTGCTCGCCTGTCCCCTCTCCCAATCCACCGGCTCGCGCGCACACACACACACACACACACACACACATACTCATATACACGCATAATTGCACACCCGGCCCTAGTCGCCCCTTGGTGTGCTGGCGCTACCTTGACCATCGTAAAGGCACCGGGACCCACCGTGTACCTCCCAGCCTCCAAACCAGCCTCCGAGTCCTCACTTTTCCCCTCGACACTTCGACACCGCGGCCCACACCCCGCACAGGCACTCTGTCTGCACGCAGGCCCCGCTCCGCCCCATCCCCCTGCCCACCCTTGCACCCTGCCTGCATTGCGCTCGTCAAACTCCATCCCACATGACCCGGATCGAGGCCCCGGCGTCTGGCGGCATTGACGCCGGCGCCCTGGCATGCGCCCTGCTGGCCCCCCTGCCGGCGGTGCTTCACTCGTCGGCCCTGCAGTTTGCGCGCCTGCTGGAGCAGTATCGTCGCAATGGAACCCGGGCGCCTCCCCTGGACGAGGTCGCCCTGGTGGACCTCCTCCAGCGGGCTCCTGCCGCGTTGGAGCGCGTTCCGGGCTGGCTGCGCGACCTTCGCGATCGGCGGCCGGAGCAACTGCTCCAAATTCGGCAACACCTGCAGGCGGCCCTGCAGCCGCTGCACGGCGCCGTCAGCAGTAGCTCTCAGCTGCTCCTGCGCTTCCTTGTGCAGGACGCCCCGGAGGTGCTGGTCCTCGGGGCCCTGCTCGGAGTGCATGCCCTGTCCCACACGGACACCCTGGCCCTGGCAGGGCAGCTGGCCCGGCGGACCGGGGCCGCACCGATCACCCCGACCGACTCCCCGAGCCTGGCCCCAGCCCCGGCCTTGGGCTTGGCATCTGGCGAGCTTGGTCGCGTGTCCTCCCTGCCGGACCTGGCCTCGCTGCGGGCATTGGCCGACCTGGAACCGAATGCTGCTGGCGAGGCGTCGGACCCCGCTGGCGGGGCACGCTTCGCTCTCGGCGACCGGGATTCCAGCTCGTCCGATCTGCCTGCGAGCCTGCTCGGTGGCATCCAGACCGAGCCTCCCTCTCCGGTGGGGTTCTTCCCCCCGGCGGCCGATCAGGGTGCCGATGGCCACACCTCGGCCAAGTGCTACGCCCCCACCGAGAAGCTGCCCCCCCTGTCGGACAGCGAGCCCGAGGACACCGGGTCCGGCAAGCCGGTCCTCGGCCCGGAGGACGAGGTTTATGACCCGGAGATGTGCGAGCGGAATAACATGGTACGCCTTCGCCCAAAGATGGCCAAGCGGCCTCACCTTTGCTGCCTCTCCTCTCCTGGACCCGGCCATGGACGACGCTGCCCGGGTCGCCCTGCGGCCCCTTGCCTGATGCTGACATCCCCCCCCCCCCCCCCCCCCCTCCGGCCGCAATGTGGCGCATTGCAGCACATCAAGGCCCTCGCCCGATTGGGCTATGTGTCCTGGTTTGTGAACATCCTTTTCAACCAGGCGGCCAACCGCGGCAAGCAGGTCCCCAAGCTGTCCAAAAACCGCGGCTGCAACCCCCGAATCCGGCCGCTGGCTCCCCCCCGGGCCGTGGTTCCGGAGAATCACGTCTGCGTCATTTGCATCGAGGATGTCCGCTTGACACACCTTTCGGTGCAGCTGTACTTCTGTGGCCATGTCTTCCACTCGGGCTGCATGGTGGACCTGCTCCAGTCGAATCCGATCGCCCCGTGCCCCTGCTGCCGGACGCCCCTGCACCCGAAGGAACGCCGCGTTCCACGCCTCACCCTCAATGACTCGGAGCTTCGCACGCACATCCGCCACATGCAGCACCAGGCCCAACAGGCACAGCAGCAGCGCTCGCGCGCTCAAACCTGACACCGTGTAGCCATCCTGCACACCGTGTAGCCACGCGCATGCACGCACGCACATAGTCCGCTGGCATGAATGCGCACGTGCGGAACTACGCGAAGAAAAAGCGAAAAGATACAAAGTTGCACCCCCCCCCCCCCCTACCCTTCCCCTCCTCCAAAATACATAGACACACAATATAGACTCCCAGAAAGGAAGGGGCAAAAGGACAAGGAGCAGGCTGGGATCGAGTGCATCTGAGTGTATGTGTGAAAGTGCGTATTTCGCCGGGCGCGTGCTCGGCAGGGAGACCGGAAATGGGCAGATACGAGCGGCTGCCCGGCTGGGAGAAGGAAAAGAAGGAGGTGACACCCGGTGATCAGGCGCATCCTCGCACGTTGCCACTAGAATCGCTTAGGCATCGGACTGCCCGACGGTGCGAAAGAGGCTATCGTAGAAGTTGTTATGCTCCGGGCGACCATACTTGCGGGTGATGGTCTTGGTGAGCTGCGCTCGTGTGGGTGACATGGTTTTCAGGCGGCGGCGGCGGCGGCGGTGGTGGTGGTGGTGGTGGTGGTGGTAACGGTCATGGTGTGAGGGAGGGGAAGAGACAGAAAGAAGGAAGAAAGGCGAAACGTCGGACGAATGGGTGGGAGTGTAGAACACAAGCATTGCACAAAGTCGCCACGGGAGAGCGCGTACCCGGTTCAGATCGGCCGACTCCGGGACATTGAGCACACCCTCGGAGAGCACCATGCGCAGGGAGGCCAGCGCCTTCGGGTCGAGGCCGCGCTCGACCAGGATCAGGACCAGATGAGCGTAGGTCAGCTGGGGCAGGACGGTCTGGAGGAAGTTGGCCGGAAGGCCCACGCCAGGGGCGGTCATCACGCGCTCCTCGTGAGCCTGCAGCTCGGGATACAGCTTGACCAGGGTCTTGACGAAAGTCATCAGGAAGTGGTAGGCGTCCTTCGGGCGGGTCTGAGCCAGGAAGCTGCATCAGGGGGAGAGGGACAGGTGAGCAGGGGGCTCATGAGGAGGACCGATGGTAGAGAGGGGCGATGGGAGCCGGAGAGAGGGGACACGATGAGGATGGCAGGGGACATTTGGAGGGTGTACCTGAGTGCACAGCGAGCGCCGAAGAAGGCAAGCTCGGTCTTCAGCTCGGGAGTCAGCTCCTTGGCAGTGGTGCCAAGATGCAGGGAGACCAGCTGGTCGGGCGCGTCGCCGGTGCCGTACAGGAGATAACGCTCGGCAACCTGGAAGAGACCGGCTATCAGATCCCAGCAGGCGTGTGCGGGAATACGTTCACGTTTGTTTGTTGTTGTTGTTGTTGTTGTTGGGTGTGTGTGTGTGTGTGTGTGTGTGTGTGTGTGTGTGTGTGCGTGAGTATGTTGAAGAAAAAGGGAGAGTGAGCACGTGAGGGGGCCAGGGGCAGTATCACAGAGAGAGAGAGAGAGAGGAAGGGAGAGGAAGGGAGAGGAGGAGGCGCGACGAAAAGAAAAGGAAACGGACCCTTCTTGGCAAAGCAGCCCACGGCCAGGGAGAAGGAGCCGGTGCTGGCCGGATCCACCGCCTGGATCCAGCTGAGGAAAGCCAATCGGCGACAGCAAGTAGAACGAGAGCCGAGCAGGGGGTCAAGGGGGGAGGGTGAGTGGCCGGGCGAGCGACCGGGCGAGCGACCGGCGAACGGTCGGCCAGAACAGGCGGCAGTTGAAGAGAGGACGGCATTGGAAAGACGTACTTGAAGAAGAAATTCAGCCAGCTCAGCAGAGCCTCCTCACTCCAGGCAAAGTCCTCGGCACCGGCGGGGCCGGCAGCGGCAGCCTTCTCCTTGAGCTGGGCATCAGCCTCGACCAGGGTGTTGACCACCGCCGAGGACAGTTCCGGGCTGAAGGCGATGCGCTTCGGCACCAGCAGCTTGGTGGAGAGGGAGTTGCTCAGAGACACGGCGTTCGGGTGATGGCGCACACCGGCCGCGAAGAAAAGCTTCGAAAACTCCATGCTCACATCGAAGGCCTCCTTGAACTGCTTCGCGCGCATGAGGCTGCCAGAGCCGGCACACGCACCCGACGAAGGCACAATCCATCATGAAGTCTGTGTCAGCAGGAAGAAGAGAGCACGGGCGCGAAGGAGGTACGACGAGACACTGGTGAAGTGCGCACCGGGTGAAGAGAGCATTGATGGATTCCAAAGCGTCGTAAAGCTCCCCGGCAGCGATGCCCGAGGCGATGGTCGCACGCAGGCCACCAAAGCGAGCCGCCTGAGCCTCAGTGATCGGCTCATTGAGCAGCGGGACCACCGGGGCCGGCGGACTCTTGGCTGTCTTCTTCTGCGGGGCGAGCAGGCTGGCGAGGTTCATGACTACACGGGCGAGGGGGGGGGGAGAGGGGGGGGAGGAGAAGGAGCGAGGCACAAGTGCAGAGCGAGCGAGGGGTGGCAGGGGCATGTGCGGATGCGAGTCCTGAGGACCTCCAGCCCCGGGAACCCGGTCCTGAAATCCTCCCCTCCTACGAACCTTCCCCCCCCCCCCCCCCAGGAGGAAGCCCCCTGCCCAGAGGCACTGGACTCCAGGGTCGGTGTCAAAAGATGGATGCACCACCACCGCCTGGTCCGGGGGCACTTGCACAGGGGCTGGAGTGTGGAGCGCGCCTTCGCGTCATGGGATCGCGCCTCTCGCACGACTGCCCACTCTTGTGCCGCCCTTTTCGAAAGACAGGAGAGACGCACCGACGCGCGATCGCCCCTCTCCTGGTGTGCGTCCGGCCGCTTGGAAGGAGAAGGCTCTAGCCGGCTGGAGGGAGGGGGGGGGGGGGGGGGGGGGGGGGAAGTAGGCGATCATGATTGTCAACCTTACTCCACTCAGGGGGCGTGGCGGAGAAGGCCTGATGCAGGGGGCAGACTGCTGGCCGTCGATCGCGGGCATTTCTGCAGCCATCCAAGGGCTCCGGATTGGGTCGGCTCGCATACCTGCCACACGGTCCTCTCTCTCTCTCTCTCCCACCTCCTCTCCCTAGCCTCCCCTGCGCCTGCGCGACGTCCGCACGCGCGCTCGTCTGCCCACTCAAACACACACACACACACAGCAACAGCAACAGCAACAGCAACAGCAGCAGCATGTCCTCATCCTCGAATTCCCATCATCCCGAGCAGTCCTCCTTCAAGCTTCCCACCCCCGAGTCGTTGGCAAATGCGCCGGCTCTGGACCCGGCCAGCCACGCGCGGATGGCGGCGGCGGTTGGCTCGGCTCCCGGCAGCGGCCTTGGGGCTGATTTGATTGAGCACGAGTTGGCGCCCGGGATTTTTCTCGTGGGCTCTCGAGATAAGTTGATGAAGAATGCCGCCAACCCGCCGGCCGCTGCGGCCCCTGCCAGGTATGTTCCCTTTGCGTGTCCTCTCCCCCCCCCCCCCCCCAACCTCTTCCACACCAGCCCTGCTGCTGTCGCCGTCGCTGTGCAGTGCTCTGTCCTAACCAAGCACCCGACACCCATAACCACCCCATCAGACCGCCAGTCAATACTGTGAGCGCCAACAATGTCGAGCTGATGCGGCTGGAGCTGCAGCAGGCCCTCTTGTCGCTGAAATGCCTGCGGCACACACAGCGCGAGCTCCAGCCCTTCGCCGATGCAGGGGACGCTGACGCGGCGGAGGCCATCACCGAGAATGACCCCATCATCGACAAGACCGTGGCCCAAATTGCCAGCCTGCGTCGGGAGATCGGGAAACTCGGTGGCAATTGTGATGCCCTGCCTGGGCTGGAGGAGTTCGATCAGGAGGAGCGCATCCGCCAGGGCCTGGCCGCTGGCGGGGAGCTTCTCTAAGTGGCGGCCACATGCGGGGGCCACCACGTGGAGTACATCCACCGAAAATACATCCGGCTGCTGTTCGAGCACTGTCATGCTGGCTGCCAAGTGGGCCTGCGGAGCCAACAGGAAGGATCCCTCGCGTGGCTGGTAGGAGACTTTATTTCGGTATACAAGAGGCAGGGGGGAGGGAGGGAGGGAGGGAGGGAGGGAGAGGCGGATGGGGCGTTTCAGGGACGAGAAGATGGGAGGGGGGAGGCAGGGGACGTCGCACGGAGGAACACCATAAAAAGGGAAGAATATCCCCCCTCGCCCTCCTACCCCTGCCATAGGCGTTGCCCGACTCAGGAAACCACCGACGGATCCGAGCGGAAAAGGGCATGCAGACTGGTCGGCAGATGAGAGCTGGTCTCGCGAAGGTTGGCCCGAGCGCTCTGCAACAGGGCCATGGCGCCGGTGGCTTCGGTGCAGGAGAAGTAATCGTTGAGGATGTGCGACAGGTGCAGGGAAAGAGTGGCCCGACGGGCAGCCGCATGGGAGCTATCCTCGCGCTTCAAGTCGGCCAAGTGCGCGGTCACCTGCTCGGCGATGATGTCCAGCAGACTATCCACCTCGGCCTCGTACCGGTCATCGCTGTCATAGAGGACGCTGTTGGGGATGACTGTGCGCGGAGCCCCGTGGCCATGCAAGTGAAAGTGATATAAATGGCAGGGCGGTTTGGGAGGCGGCAGGAGCACTTGTCAACAACGGGGAGAGAGAGAGAGAGAGAGAGAGAGGGAGGGAGGGGGGGGAAGCGCGGAAGAGCAGGCAGCGTACCACCAAGGTAGTTGAAGCGGGACCGGTTGGTGCGCAGGTGCGAAAGGGCCTTCATGATGGAGAGGAAGCACCAGGCCTTGCCGTCGGAGGTGTTGTTCCAGGGGTAGGACTCCAGCGCCTCAAGGAACTGCCGGAGGATGAAGAAGGGACCCTGGTCCGGGCTGCCGGGGAGACCGATCAGGAAGGACGCCACATTGGCGATGTAGCTGACCAGCCACTCATCCGA